TCTTTTTGTTTCTTTTTTTTGTTTTGTGTCTGCCTTTGTTTTTTTGTCTCCTTTTGTTTTTTTTTGTTTTTTTGTTTTCTTTTGTCTCCTTTCGTTGTCTATACACAAAAGCAGTTGCCCCTACATACACCGCAAGCAGCAACAGCAGCAGCAGCTGCAGCAGCAGCTGCTGCTGCTGCAGCAGCTGCTGCTGTTGCTGCGATGGGGCCGTGGAGCCGCACTAATTTGCTGCTGAACTCTTGACCGTTGGTTCGATATCTAACTAGCAATCGAGCGAGTCTGGTGGCTAGCTAGCTAGCTAGCTAGCTAGCTAGCCAAAGAGCTAGTTATCCAGCTAGCCAAAGACCTAGCTAGCTAGCCAGCTAGCTAGCTAGCCAAAGACCTAGCTAGCTAGCTAGCTAGCCGAAGAGCCAGCTAGCTAGCCAGCTGTAAGTAGCGAGGGAGCACTCAGCCTTCGAGCTCCACCCACAAGCAGATGGGGGCCCCATATGGCTTGGCTAGCTAGCTAGCTAGCTAGCTATCTATCACGCTATCTCGCTAGCCGTATAGGTGGCTACCCAGCTAACCGTGTAGGCAGCTAGCTAGCTAGCTAGCTAGCTAGCTAGCTGGGCGCGTAACTAAAGGATTNCCAGCTAACCGTGTAGGCAGCTAGCTAGCTAGCTAGCTAGCTAGCTAGCTGGGCGCGTAACTAAAGGATTAGGTACTCAGCTAGCTGGGGAGCGAATGAGTGGTTCTACTAGCCGTGGTTTTGTGTAGCTAGCCACGCAGTTGTTGAGCTAGCCAGATAGGGGTTAGCTAGCTAGCTAGCTAGCCACTGGCTTGCTAGCTAGCTGATATTCAAAGCTGAGTTGGCTAGCTAGCCATATACACTTTGGCTAGCTAGCTGGCTAGCTAGCCACATTCAAAGTGGCTAGCTACCCCTATCCACGCTGGCTAGCTAGCCATATAAAACTTTGCTAGCTAACGTGCTACAGCTAGCTAGCTAGCTAGCTAGCTAGCCAATTAGCTAGCTAGCTAGCTAGGTAGCCAGTTAGCTAGCTAGCTAGCTAGGTAGCCAGCTAGCCTGCTAGCTAGGTAGCTATCCAGCTAGCTAGCTAGGTGGCTAGCTAGCTAGGTAGCTAGCTAGCTAGCTAGCTAGNAGCTAGGTAGCTATCCAGCTAGCTAGCTAGGTGGCTAGCTAGCTAGGTAGCTAGCTAGCTAGCTAGCTAGGTAGCTAGCTAGCTAGCTAGCTAGCTACTGGGTAGTCTAGATACCCACATGGTTCGCTGGGCGGAGGCAGATGGCCCTGTAGAGAATAGCTCTAAGCCATCTGATGGAGGCAGCTGCCTCAGATACATTCTCTTGCTGCTGCTGCTGCTGCTGCTGCCGCTGCTGCTGCTGCTGCTGCTGCTGCTGCTGTTGCTGCTGCTGCAGGCACAGACAGGGGCTTCAGATGAGGGAGTGCAGCACAACGCCGGCGATGCACATCACAGCAGCAATCCCCTTCTGTAGATCCACGCATTGAGACTCCTGCAGCAGCAGCAGCAGCAGCAGCAGCAGCAGCAAGAGTAGTAGTAGCAGCAGCAGCAGCAGTAGCACGATCAGGAGTAACAGCAGCAGCAGCAGCAGCAGCAGCAGGCAATACGGCCACCTGACCCTCGGCTCGCCGCGTGAAGCTACTGTCAGCAGCAGCAGCAGCAGCAGCAGCAGCAACAGCAGCAACAACAGCAGCGGCAGCAGCAACAGCAACAGCAGCAGCAGCAGCAGCAGCAGCAGACCTGCACGCTGCAGAAGAGGATGTGGCTGAGTACAACAACTGCTGCAGCCTTGCAGCCCTTCAGCGCCCCCGAGGTGACAGCTCCTGCAGCAGCAGCAGCAGCAGCAACAGCAGCAGCAGCAGCAGCAGCAACAGCAGCAGCAGCAGCATTTCTCATTGCAGCGACTGCGGCAGCAGCCAAACCGGCTCTGCGTGTGCAGCAACAGCAGCAAGACTCCAGCAGCAGCAACAGCGAGAGCAGCAACAGCAGTGCAACAGCAGCAGCAGCAACAGCAACAGCAGCAGCAGCAGCAGCAGCAGCAGCTGACCTAGCTTGGCTATGATGAACCACATGGTGGCTGAGTGTACAGTCCCGCAGAGCAGCAGCAGCAGCAGCAGCAGCAAAATAGTGTACACGTCTCCCCCTTGGCTTCTCACGCGGCTCAGTATCAGCTCATCCAGCTGCACAGACACACACACAGCTAGCTACAGCTAGCTACAGCTAGCCACAGCTAGCTACAGCTGGCTACAGCTTAGCTACAGCTAGCTACAGCTAGCTACAGCTAGCTACAGCTTAGCTACAGCTAGCTACGGCTAGCTACGGCTAGCTGCAACTGGGTACAGCTAGCTACAGCTAGCCACAGCTAGCTACCGCTAGCTGCAACTAGGTACAGCTAGCTACAGCTAGCTGCACAGATAGCTACGGACTATATGAGGTATACAAGGGCAATTTCTTGCGCCTAAGCTGTTACTAGCTAGCTAGCTAGCTGTCGATAGCTAGCTAGCTAGCTGTTGCTAGCCAGCTAGCTGTTGCTATCTATCTATCTAGCTAGCTAGCTAGCTGTTGCTAGGTGTGTTACCTGAGGCAAAGTCCATACACAGGACCAGATGAGCAGCAAGACGGTGCTGATGGTGCTGCACAAAGCATGCAGCACAACACAGCAGCAACACTGCTGCAGCAACAGACACGAAGCAGCAGCAGCAGCAGCAGCAGCAACAACAACTGCAGCAAGTGCAGCAGCAGCAGTGCAGCCGCAGCGAACGCAGCAAGAGCAACAGCAACAACTGCAGCAGCAAAAACAACAGCAGCAGCAGAAAC